GTAAACGAAAAATGGATTTGTGCAAGTTTTTGAAAATTGTTCTGAACCGTGTCAACAAGGCCTACGATTCATTAGATAACAAATCATTAAGAAACTGATGCAACTGCTGTCACAGTGATTCGATATGTTCATCCCCGCGTTTTGGGCATCCCCATTCCCAAAATCCTAGTGATATGGGCTTCCCCTGTAACCCTAACCCTAGCCCTAATTTTCTAAGGTAATATGAGAAGGAGATGCCCATATCACTAGGATTTTGGGAATGGGGATGCCCAAAACGCGGGGATGCCCATACCACGGTGACAGCGCCACTTAAAACTACGAGAAGGAAACTGAACCCAGTTAACTTTCGTAAAGACTTCTGGTATCGTTACTGGAGACGCGCTATTCAGCTATTGGCTAATTTGTCTGTCCTATCCCCAGTAACCGTCCCCAAAGTCTTGGCGAAAGTTTACTTCGCGGAGTTTCCTTCTCGTTTCTAAAGCGGAGAATTTTACATACCAAGAGCTTGCAGATGGATACATTGTTCACGTGATCCAGATGAGCCGCTATGTGAAGTGGAGTACAGCCTGAGTTGCCGACAGCATTGGGATTAGCGCGACCTTCACGCAATAGAGCCTGTAAGTCAAACGTTCTGTGCTCTGAGACTTAATAATGCTAAAACGTCGGGATATCATATCGTTAGTTTCTACTTGTTTATGGAAGCTGTTTTGGCAAAAACATTTCGGTACTTCTTGTGAGACAGGTACTCGCCACTTTTTATATGTTCATTTAAAGAACCACCCGCTTTGTGAAAAGAGAAAGAAGAAAAAGGAAACACTCTACATCTTTTATCATATCAAGGGACACTTGAATAGGCCCTTTGCAGCCAGTTATTCTTGTGGTACTAAACGTAACCGCCATGCTGGAGAGCAAAGGACGCACTGGGACGTGACAAATGGTTGTTTTCTTTGTTTGTCTTGTCCCATAGACTTGCTACAACTCGACCTCTCATAAGTTCCTAAAAGTTAGCGAAGCTAGCTTCAATGCATCAGGTCGCGCAGCGACCGAGCAAGCGACGAAGTTTAAAATGGTATAACCAATCCGGAAAAGCTGTCTATCATGCCGATTTCGTATAAGAAGGACTAGCTGCAAAGGGCCTAGAGGGGTTCAGAGCCGGCATGTTTCGACGGCTGAAATGGTAGGAAAGAAAAAAAATAGATCGAGGCGTCTCGGCAGAGGCCAAGAAATGATTGTGGTGATCACTAACCAGCACAATATCTAAGTTTCCAGTTCTTGTAGCAGTGTGCAATGGGGTATCATCCCTATCATCATGTGCATCCACATCAGGTTTGTAGCGGAGAAGGCAATGTACAATATCCAGCTTTTGAGCTCCAACTGCGCAGTGAAGTGGAGTTTTACCGTACTCATCATGTGCGTCTATATCTGCGGCAGAAATGAGCGACAACCTTTCTTTAATCTTTTCAATAGACTATCTTTTAACAGTGTTTCTTTCATTGACTGCCAAGTGATTGACCGACAGTGCAAGCTCTCCTAACGGACACTCTCGTAATTGGACAGCTTTACTAACGTCCGCCTTCACAAAACCCCGTTCTTCTCGACTGCCATACAAACTATGTATTTTTACATTCACGTAAGCGGCCAGCTCCTGTTACGGACGCCTTTCCTCGTTTCCGGAGGGTGGTGTCCGCTCACGACAGCTTCTACTGTAGTTAGAGACTGACTGACTGGTGACTGATTGTCTCCTTAGAAAGAAGTTAAGTTGAGCCTTATTCTTCCATCATTCGCCCTTTGTAAACTTGTAATAATACGGTTAAGATGACACGCAGGCTTAGGTCGAGGGTTCAGGGAGCCGACGACTGTATACGTACTCAGTCACTTCAGTGATTTTCAACGGACTGACCGGTTGGTTGAATTAACGAACGAACGAACGAACTAACTGACGGACGTATGCATAGATGGATAAAAAAAGGAAAGAGAAAGGACGGAACGACAATCAAAACAGCCCAAAACATTCTTTTCTACACCAAAAGCAAGCTTCTTGTCTTTCCTGTGAGCTTTTAGAGCAACTTTTTTTTTTCGCCCAACTTGATCAAACCGTGCTGGAAAGGCAAACAATATCTAATCCGGTTTGGAGTTTTATTTCAGCTAAACTTAAGTCATATATAATTGTACCTTTTCCAGCAGATATAAGGTTTTCTACGTCAGATTCCTTGCCATTAAGAACAGCTTTGTGAAGGCCGCCATGATGGTCTCTGTTGATGAATCGCAGGTTGATTCTACCCTGTGAAATAATAAGCAATTACTGGAGGGTGATGCAGTGATAACACTTTATAAAATTTATTATAGACATAGTCGCAAGCTCCTTAACTGATAAACTAAAGTGCTACTATTTAGAATAAAAATAAATTTACAATAAATAGGAAGGGACAAACATTACAATGAAAAAGTGCAGTCAGAGATGGTGGCTTTAAATTTTGCAGTTGAAACTAGTGTCAAATAGTAAGATGGCAGACTATTCTTGCCAGAAGTTGTATTTGTACGCGTCACAGGGTGGCTTAAGTAGAATAAATTTGAGTGGATAAGATGCCCTGGGTTTTATGGAGGACTGATGTTGTATCAATAGCGGCCTGGTTGGTAACATCAGCGTCAGTATAGCTACTTGTCTTGTTTTTTCGAGAGTTGGCCAATTAAGTTGCTTCAAGGCATTGGTTACGCATTTTTTCTCATTCGCGTAGGTTCTTGGTACGAGGCGTGCTGCTCGGCGCCGGACCTGTTCAAGACATGATTTCGGATATGCTCTATACAGATCCCATACGGTACTACCACATTCCAACGGTGGTCTCACTAGTGATTTGTAAGCTTGATCTTTAACCTTCTGTGGGCAACGATGTAAGTTCCTCTCGACAAAGCCAAGAGCAGAATTGGTTTTATTTCTAATGTTCAGAATATGTGTCCTCCAGTCCAAATCCTCTGATAGAGTAAATTCAAGATAAGGCTGGTCGTCTGCAGACTGCAAGGTTTGGCCAAGCATAGGATGGATTAAGGGATTCATGCTTCTGCAAACTCGTAGAGCGCAACACTTCGAGGGACTGAAGACCATTTGCCAAAACCTTGCCCATTCAAATGCTTTGTCCAGATCGGATTGGAGACTGATTAAAAATTATGCACCAGACCAGACAGCAGGGTGTCGTCAGCGAACAACTTAATTGATATCTGACGTATATCATTAACGAATAACAAGAAGCACAAGGGATCCAACACGATTCCATGAGGGACTCCGAATTTCACGCAAGACTTCTCACTGTGCTCGCCTTTGAGGACCACCTGCTGAGTTCTTCTTATTAGCCACGCCTCTATCCTGCAGGCTAAGGTCGGACCGCAATTGTCGTAGTACACTAACTTAAGTAACACACGTTTGTGTGCTATTTTAAATTAATTTGTCGAAGGCTTTAGAAAAGTCTAAGATCAAAAGACCAGTCTGGTTTCTGCCATTTACTGACCGGGCTAGATGCTCTACTGTATTAATACGTTGCGTTTCGCTTGAGCGCCCATTGAGCCGCCTGTTCGTCGGCATAATCAAGTTAAAACAAAGCACGTCAGATAAAGGGTTTCCTAACAACTTCCGCCTCCGTCTATTCTAACCTTCTTTGGAAATGTTCTACCCCTTTGGGACTCTGTTATTTCAAGAAAATTGAAGCTGAGCTGTGGAAATTTGACTAATAGCTTTTGCAGCATGTCAGAAAATGTCTTAGCTTAGACACAGTAAAGTCATAATTTATGACGTCATGATTCGAAATGGCCGCCATCTTAGATCTGTCATATTGTAATTTTGTTACGCCAGAAAAAATGCCAAAAACGCCTTTTGAATTGAATCAACAGTTTTAGTGCGGAAGTTCTTAAAAATCTATACTATGGTCACCATGGATGTTATCTTTGTTTCTATTTTCACTTAAAAGTAAGAAACGTGGCAAACCAGCAAAAAAACACCTTGTGATGAAAACCTGACACTAAATGTTGCTGACAAATATCTCATGTCAACCGTTTCAGATGCTAAGAGTACTTTTATAAAGTACCTGAGATACTTGTATTAGAAAGATAACTTTGTATTAACGTTCCGTTATTTCTATAATGACCCTAATTTTAATCTGTCTTTATCAAATGCAAATTACTTCATCAGAACGCTTTTGAATACTCAAAACATCTTATTTTTAGAAGTAGGTCAATTTTGCTGTCTTCTTCAGTGACAGTACACCTTCGGCCATATAATTTTGTTTATTGTAGGATCAAGAGATTTCTGCTAAATTCGAAAAGTCGCCGTCTTTTCACAGTTTTCGTAAATTCTAAAAATGATTTAAAGCAAAATTTATAAACATATTTCTATAATTAAATGTATCGCCTTCTATTTCATTCACATAGCGCAAACAATAAAACTTTCATCAAAAACTTCCTCTTAAGAAAAATACTGACCTTTTGTTATGTCTCAGTCTTGTAACGGTTGTTATGTTAAAAATTAAGAATGTTAGGTCCCAACAAACCACACTTTAATAATAATGAGCTTTATAACATTCACGTTTATCAGCGATACAACGTACCAAAGAGATCATAATCATGCAGTATCTACTGATATAAGCGTATTACTGACTAGACGAAGTTCAGGTAGTTTGACAGGCTGCATTAAGCCGTCATTTATACGGACTGAAAAAAGGAAAACATTTAAATCGCCGGAGTTTACTGTAACTCGATCCATAAATTTTCTAATTTGTTCTTGCATAGAAAAGAAAGTCAAGAAGCAAACAAACACAAAAAATACATCAAATTATTTTAACTCAATCAAAATACCCGAAAGTGAACGAAGTGTGCCAGCGTCTGCCAATTGTCCTCCCGCATGACTGCCGGTCCGTCGTTTGAGTTCGTCCAGCGCTTATTGGAAAGGGCTATGGCATTCTGTTTCCTGACAATTAAGATTTCGTTTTTTCTGCTTTCGTAATGTAAGCACGAGTAACCTTTGACATCGTGGCGTCAAAACGCTGATTTAAAAATAAACATGTACACGTTTTGTGTTTTGGGCAATCCTTTCACCGCACGTCGGCTTAAAAGTAATACTTTTAGAAATCAATTGGGGTCATTTTTCAATATTTGTCCAATAGAAAAAGCAAAAAATTGTTTTCATTTCGAATTGTATGTTCCACTCATAATGGGCTTTAGCTTGATCAAAATTAGCATATTGAAATCTTTTTTTAATCTCCGAGTAAGATTTTTTAAACATTCAATGATAAAATTAGAATTTAAGCCTTATTTACAGATTTCTTAGATAGCTCAAAGACAAAAAACTTTTTGATCATTCAGATCCCAGTAACCAGCGGAAGAACTGCTCTCTGCAAGAAACGAGTTGAATCCAAACTAACAAACAAAGCAAACAATAAGATGAATAACATTTGTGACAGGAGGACACCAATATATTTCGTAACACAAATTCTTTGTTTATTCTGCGATCAAACCTTCTAAGTAGTTTTTGTGTTGATCATCTTGTATAATTCTCCTCCACCGTAATTTGTTTGTTTTGTATATACTTTGAATACTCTTAAATCAAATACTTTTCTGATTTCAAAAAAATGCTAATAATTTGTGAACATCTAAACTTTATAAACTACATTAGGCGTATTTTACTTTAGGCCAGTCACACGTACAAGTACGCGAGGAAGGAAATGTTAAGAGTACGGATTTAAGTACGAAGAGTCTTTCCTTCAATTAATGTAAAGGCTTTAGCCTTTTAATACAGTAACATATTGCTCTTAATACTTTTCGATGGAAGTTAATTTCGCAGTAATGAAAAAGTAATAATTTGCCAAGAATTGCGCGTTGCGAAAGGAATATCGTTTTGGTATTATAAGTACGGTGAAAGTTTTCTACAATCAGTACTAAATAGTTTGCTACAAGACACGTGACCTTTATTGTTAGCGCATCTGGATTGTTACCATATTCGAATCCCTATATTTCGTAGTGGTTTTAAAACGAAAACTTAAAATAGGTTGACTTTTAAGTTGCCACAAAGCAAGCTATCCGTCAGTTTGAGAATTCTTCTTCATTTGAAATCAAAAATCCTCAATGCATATTACATTTTATGTCGAAAAAAAATTATAGAAAATTCTGCATCGTTCAATATTTTTAGCTGATTGGTGGTTTGTTTTGCTACATAACTAGAGAAAAACTTTTCTTTTAAAGTTAAAGCTGAGTCCAAGTATTATTATTGCAAAATCACATTTTATATTTGAATTGTTGAATAAATTATGAGAAAATGTATCTTGTAATTTTTTTCAGTGAAGTATTATGGGCTTCCAGAGGGCAAATAATTTTTTTGGAAAGTTTATTGTATACCCTTCAAAAAATGTATAGCTTTTTAAGCTAGGGTAAATAACAGTGGAGATATAAAATTTTTAAAATGTGTGGTCAAATTTGCTCTTTGCTTGTCTGCCAGAAATGGTATTACTTTCGACGACCTAAAATACACGGTACGATCTGCACCAGGGAAGTGTGATATGAAATATCAGATAAGCTTGAAATCTATCTGTTCGTTGTAGCTAGTCAGTGGAAGGGGCCGCAGGTTTGTCAGTTTACTGTTTAGCGTTACCCTCTTTAAATAAAGTTGATACATTTAACACTTTTGGAACTGATCGATATCGTACGTACATTTGATGCGACTGTAATCAGAAGCACATATGCTTCCGCTGTAATACACTTGGGCTGCTTTGCGTGGCTTTAAATACGAAAATGTCCGCGATTCTGGGGGAGTAAACGGTAGCACGTTTTTTTTTTCGCGAAATTTCGCCTGTCCTGTTTAAAATTTGGAATACGCATTTTAGATATAAAGTTGGTTAAATAACTAGTTGCAAAAGGGAAGTATAAAATTTGAACCGAGGAAAAAAATTAAAACATCCATAGCCAACCCAAGTGTCAATACTTTAAGGAATTAAAATAAACTAACAAATACAAAGAATCACGTCGCAATAGAAGTTTGTTGGCAAATACATTAATTGCAAGTATTCCAGCGAAAGCTGGTGATTGACATGTAATATTCACTATATTAAAGAAGTGTATACCTCGAAAATACGGGTATCAACATTAGAAAGCAGAAGAAGAATCACCTTGTTATATGTAATCATTATTATATATACTTCTAACGCTCACTCTACTGCTGCTGCTAGAAGTGCCACTAAAATACTACTGCTAATATCGCCACTTTTCCTAGCCATCAGTATATAATGATAAAATCAATGCTAGCGTTTTAATTTCACACTGACGCCGCCATCTTGGATTCGCCATCTTGGCTTGTCTGGCTCGACGTCGAAAAAGTAACCAAGTCAAAACTATGTACTCAGATTCATTGAAAAAAGTAAACGTACATTTTTGATAAGTCGGACTACCGAATTTGCTAATATATAATTTATTCAAGAACAGATGTGAAATCCAAAATTCAGCATAAGGTTGTCAATGTAATATCACAGGTGATCAACAATTAAAATTAAAAATTCTCTTAGGCGCCTAAATTTGAGAAAATCCTTTTTATACATATTCAAAGCTATAAACTCTTTAATTTCGACCTACCTACGGTAGTTTGCTTGTTATGCCCACGCCACAAACTACGCCGTGAGGGTCTGAGGCAATTTTAATGTTACTTGTATCAATAATGAACAAAATTCTCAAATCTTAACAGCTATTAGATAATTTATTGCTAAATTTGGCTGATCCAGCACCAGAACTGGCCAATTTTTCCTGTCCGATAAGAAGCTGATTGTACTAGCTGAAAGGTCAAATCGGACAGGTTAACAGCCAATGAAAATCAAATATCAAATGTTGTTAGCCAATAAGGTGTAACAAATCAGTCCATGCTAGCAAAGCGAAGCTGACAAAAAATCTTCAGAGAGCAAGTTTTTCAGCTTCGGCTTGACAAGTCTAATTTTCTAAAAAATTGTACCACCTAAAAAAAGTTCCTACAGTTAGATTTACATATTCCGATAGCTTCTCCAAACATTACAAGCCATGTTTTTGCTTCAGAAGCTGTAAGCTGATGTAGTCCTGAGATTCGCGCACTTTTTTATTGTCACACTTATTTGGTTATGACTTCAAGTCCCGAACAATTCAGGTTAATCACACTCGTAATTTCAAATCTTTTTCTCACTACGTGTACGTGCTTGGTCGATTTGAAATATTAATTACTCCCCGAATTCAGTGCTCTCCACTCAGTACAGTATTACTCTAACTAATTAGGTAACGGTTTACGAAGTCGAAGAGTCATAATAATATTTGAAAATCTACTCATTTGCGTTTTACAAACAAAATTAAGGTTGATTTTTGCGTTTTTTGTTTTTTTCACAGCACCTGGAAGTCGTTCCCATTTTTAAAAATAGATCCGGTGAATTCACAGTAACAATAATAATATTCACTACAACAATATTTCTTCAGTGGTCACAGTCATCGAGGAAAAAAAATTCTTTAAAGCAAATTATTTAGTTGACTCATTATAAACATAACAGCGAGCAACATTGCAAATAATAATTATGATTCCCTGCTTTATATTGTTCAGTTAACGCGAAAAAAATTACAACTTAAATTAGATTTCCTATTTTTATATCTCTGTGTAGGGGTAAAAACGTCTTTCACTTTATATGTCCTTTTGTTTTTCTTTTGAACTTCTAAATCGCTGCCCAGCAGGGCTGCGCCAAAAAGGCATTCTAGGCAAACCTTTTCTATATACCATCTGTTTGAATTTCATATTTCGCCAGGATCCTTGCCGCTTTAGCTAGGAAGCTAGCGAAGCGGAATAATATAGTTGTATAGCTGGTGCAAAACGCTATGGAAAATTAAGTTTTTTTTCACAGTTCGGGAAATATTGTAAATAGACCAACGACAAAATACTTATGAGTTCACAAGTTCATTTTTTTTTCGTTGTTTACAAAATAAAAACGTGACTAAAATATAGAAACACCATGAGGATGATGAATTCTAGAGAAAAAAAAAGCAAGATGGTAATTAATGATGTGCTTTATTTTTGTGAATGCATGAACTTAAGAAGCGGAAATTGAAAAGCCCTTTCGAAAAAAAACGCTTTTCATTGTTTTATTGAGTTTTAAAATGCAAGAAAGGGCAATAAAGAAAAAAAAAGAACACACAAAAGAATTGGAGAAGATTCTGACTTAAAAGAGTGTGAAATCTTAAAAGTTAAAAAATGGCAACAGCATTGTTAACGCGCTTCTTGCGCGTCACATCTCTCAAACATTTGACCATTCATTTAAGCAGGTGTCATTATTAAATCCGTAGTCAAAAAACATACACCAAGTACATTTTTTCTTTGCTTTAGAAACCAAAGAAACACAAGAACGCAAATGCTCCGCGTTTGGGGTTTGACCACTATCAAAGATAAAGAAAATTCGACGATGAGTGAATTCTGTCGAGAAATAAAACACGACTAATGATTTTCTGCCTGATTACAATTGCGTTAGAGTGGTTTGGAATTTTCATCGTTCGCTGCGTTTCACTGCTTACCGCTCGGTTAGAAAGGGTAAAACTCACCTTGATCACTGCAATATTAAACGCATGCCGAATCATCTCTGGCGTAGATAGCCGATGCGCGTCGTCGTTATTTGACTTTCGGCGTCTATGGGCGGCCGTAAAGGCACCTGAATCACTATCCGTGTCAGTTTCATAGTTTTCTGATGCAGTATTGAAGAAAGATTCAACGCGGAGTCCGTTGTTTAGCGTCTGAGAATCTGAACTTATTGACTGCATTTTCGGTGTCCCCAAAACGGTTTATCTTCCTTACGCTGCGAATTGTTTACAATCTATCGCCAGTTGAGTAAATAAGATCCTGATGAATTTCCTCCATATGAAAGGGTTTGACTTTATGAAACCCATTCGTTATGAGAGAAATTTGATGGATACCTTATTTCTTAGAAAAGAAGCAGTGGTCTATCCGCAAAAAAGAACTAATTCTTGTCAATTTAGGCGCTATAAATTATGCAAAACATCCTGTGCGCATTTTGATGTGTTTTTGTGGCGTCACTCGGCATGGAGTATTGGGATAGACGTCAAATTTAAGGAAAATCCGAAAAAAATAACAAAAACTAAATTACAAAAACAAGGAAATGCAATTATATAGCTACAAGTTTTGGTGGCAGTAGCAACGCTAAACAATTTTTGTTTTCCTGGGATAAATTGAAAACAAACTTATATTTAATTTATGAGCTGGAGTACTCGGTTTTAAATTTGCAATAAAATCTCAATCAGTACAATCAGTATATTCGCATTCATAAATGAGGTCTTTCAAACCTCGTTAAAATATGAAACAATTTTTTTCTACTATTTTCTTTTTTACGTTTTTCATGTTTCCATTTAATCCAAACTCAGAATTCTGTAGGTAGGTGGAACTAAAAAAAGAACAAGAAAAATAAAAAATAAATAAAGAAAACCGATACAGTTTATGTCGTTAATTAAGGACTTCTAAATATCTTGTTGAATAATGCATGGTTGTTGCATTTTTTCCTCTAACATTACCTCAAAATCATTTGAATTATGAAGCCAGCTGTTTAGACCTATCATATGTAGAAACGAGGTTAATTTTAGTGATATTCAACAAAATCAGCCAAATTGAGAGTTGACCAAACAAAAAATCCAAATTTCTTTTTTTCTAAAATCGTTAAAAGTAAAGACTTGCCAAAGTTCTGACAAAGATAATTCAGTGAATAGTAACACCTACGATGAATAAAAGAGACAAATAGAAAGCACAGATAAAATGATAAGTCATCCAACTGCAACAACCTGGGGATCGGAAAGGGTAACCTGCAAAGATAAAATATTGAGTGCCACACATGTTCTGAAAATCGCGGTAAACCGAAATAATTTATATAATTATGTACATATAATTTACACGTACTATCGTTTTTGAAAAATGAGGGATATCATTTTCTATCGATTTTTTGTTTTCTAAATAAAACTGAGAAAGAGGGCTGAGAGCTTTTTCAGAAAAAAAAAATGTAAATAAAAACAAGACGAATTAAGCAAATTTTTGAAATTCCGTTGTGAACTCTTAAGGTTCGGAAAAACGGAGGAACATAAAACGTGCAACTCGTCTTGCAGCATTGCTGCAAAACGAGTGGAATAACGATGTGGCACTTTTTACCACCCAACGTTCAAACCTGTCTTGCAACAAATCAGCTTGTTAACAGGTTTGAACGTGAGTGGTAAAACGCGCAACACCGTGATTCAACTCAGCAATGTTGCACGACAAATTTCACGTTTCATGTTCGTTGCCTGTTTTCCCGTACCTTTACATTTGGTTGTCATGAGTTGAATTGTTTTTGGATTCATCCTTGGTGTAAGAAACTTATGTAATACTCACGGGGACTTAAAAACAAAGAAAACTGCAAAAGAAGCCAGTCCACACAATAGACAGAAAATATAGCGTAGGAAAACAAAAGGAGCAAAGGAGAGGAAACGTTCCTAGGGCTCTTACACTGAGGTTAACGAATTTCTTATTGGAAAATGGAAAATAGATTTCGGATAAATGAACAAAAATTAAACATTAGAATGCCGTGGATTTATTTCCTGGATCCAACATACGCGTTCCGCATGCACTGCTGTCAGATGTCTATAAACATAAACTCACAGTAATATCAAAAGTTTTTCCACCACTAAGCAGGTCGAATAATCTGTTTGCAGGAAACGTTTCTGTAAGATTGTTTGCGTCATATGCATTCATTAATTATAATCTTACACATGGTGTTCAATTTCTACTCCAGAACCGCTTCCGCGCATGACAGCACGTGACGCATGAAATGACGCAGATCAGTGTGATTTTCACGAGATCTGAACTTAATTAACGTGAGAAAAAATTACAAAACAAAACAAAAAACACATATTTATTTTTCAAGAGTTGAAAAGTCCGAGAACGTGTGATGAGCAGCTTCTGCGGCCGGTGCTTAAAACCTTTTTTCCTTTAGCACGTACTATTTAACATATCTTTTTTTAAAAAAGGAAATTAAAATGTGCTCGTGTAATTAAGGAAACTTAAATAATGTTTTTCCTTGTTCAAAAAATATTTCTAAATTTTATCATTTGCACAGTGGTCTGATCAATTCTTTATAAGACCTTAAAAAGGAAAAAGATCGTAAAGCCTTAAAGGGTATACGTAAGACACGAGAAACGGTTTGGTTCGGAAAGATTCAAACAGGCAACAGACTATATAACAGGTGCAAGCCATTTATACTTTTAAAAATGCCCCGATATATAGGGATTATAATTTCTTGTAATTTGTTGCTGGCGAGCGTTATCAAGATGACATGGTATTTTCCGCTTTATATGCTGAAGCAATCTAACATTTTCATTTGGACATCTTAATCATGTGATCATGTCTTAGATGTAATAGTACCCTGGCATAGTCAGTGATTAGAATTGGCTGATTTTTTTTTGTTTTTCAGGCGCCCCTGGCCACGGACCCGTTAGTGCAATGGTCGGTGCAATGGCCGAACGACATCACGATACTTAACAGAGCCGGAGTGCTGATTTATGATATTCCAGCAGGAACAAATATTTCTATTTTTTCACATCAGTGGGCGAGAAATGCATCAAAAGATTACTTCTTTTCTCAACGGCTAAAGCACATTCTGTAAGTATATACAAGAAACTGTTTAAAATCAGCATCACGGTTGTTTTCATGTGGTATAGGGGCTGTCTCAAGTAGATCTGTAACAAAACAATGTATTTATATAACTGTTATTTGTCAGAGGTTGAGTACCAACAACCTAGACTTACTGCAAACCTTTTTCAAGCGACAAAGTCGCAAGAAGTCTTTCGTCCTGACTGATGACCTGACGGACTTTTAGAAAGTCTTTAACGATCAAATTCTCGATACAAGTTCATTTGAAGCTCTTTTTTGAAGATTTATTAACCCTCGGACGTACACGCAAAGTCATACCCCCACCATGGTACAAGGGGGAGGGTTTGATGGACCCCCCGTTTAGTTTTTGATGTGTTGCAGTATTTCGAAACGATTTTGCCTTCAGTGGAAAGCCTTTGATCTTCTTAATAAGATGAAGCATATTTTATGGGTAGTGGCGTTGTTGGCGGTCTGTGACGTCACCAAACATAGTCGCCATCTTGGATTTTTTGAAGAATTAGAAATCAGGTAAAAACAGTGACAATTAATACTTTTTGCGCTTAACATGTAAAATAATACATAAGTAATTACTTTGCATCATTTTATCCACAAGCTCTACTTTTATTCCTGAAAGAAGCTGAAAAAACACGCATTTTCACTCAAAAATGACTTGACCACCTGGTACTTTTTGGTATGATGCTGAGACGTCATATCTCGTAACCATAGTGACTGGCCATCACTAGACTTGTCTCAAAAAACGCAGAAGGATAAACGAACAGCTACAGAAAACTTCAGGTGCTGGTGCTTTATCGTCTAGGAAATAATCAGAAAAACCTTGAAAAGGGGGGGGTGGTTTCCACCACCCCTTCTAAGTCGGAGGGTTAAGATTTACTTTAACATTATATACCAGTAACAATGTTAGCACTCATTTTCAAATGAAACTAGCGTCTTCAGAAACTTACATTTGATCACGCCACCCCTCTAGCACTTTCTAAATCCACTTATTTTCTAGATTTATATTATTCGGCAAATAGATATTTCAAGGAGTATTAACTGTCTTCACAGTTTGTCGTTTAAATACGGAGAACGGATGCAGCCGGATGGAATTCAACTTCAACTTCCAAAAAACCTTTTTGAAGCAAAAAGGAAGTTGGAGTTTTTGTCGAAAACATGCGTCTGAATCTTGTAATTAATTAAGTCCTTACATTAAGATTTCAGATTTTTCCTGTTTTGTTACATTACCAGGAGTATATATTTATACATTATAATATATCACTGCCACGTGCAATCAATTAACTGGTGTAAGCATAGTTCACATAAAATTATCCAAGAAATGGGGAATGAAAAAAGAGTGTTAAGTCACACTAACATTTTTTATTTCAAAACATTTAAAAATAGGTACGAAACGTCAAGTTAAAAGTTTTCTGATTTTTTCTTCCCCCTCTGCACCATTTGCACATCTCTCATAATACCTGTTTGCGCCCCAAAATTTTGCATGAGAGCGAGATTTTCCAAACATTTTCCCGTAATATCTCAAAAAGTTGCTCAAAAGTTGCTCGAAATAAAAAAATGTTTTGGGTCTGATGCTAAAATATGCAAATTGCACAACAAAAGTAAGATTTCTAAGCATTTTTGTGCAATTTATCGGCGTCGTTGCTAAATAACTTTGTCATCAGTTAAAACCAAAAAATGTAATGAGCCATTAATTTTTATTTAATAGACAACAAAGGGTAATAGCTGATGGTGACATGACCCCTTTTTTGCCTATAAACAGAGGTGTGCCTCAGGGCACTATACTTGGACCCATCCCGTTTTCTGTAATGTTAAATGATATAGAAGCTGTTGATTCAGACAGTTCCACATTGGCTAAGTTTGGGGATGACCTAACTATAAGCGTTTTGGTGAAGGGAATTCAGGACCAAGCTCCCCAAGAAGTTTAAAACATACTCAGTTGGGCCCAGGACAACCTAGCCTCCCCGCAGACGTCCTTTGGGGTTCGTTTGTCACGCATTCATTTCTCCCTCACGGACGTCTGCTAAACACAGCCGACATTTACGTTCTGGATTGTTTGAATAAGCCAATAAGCGGTTAGTTATTGTGTCACGGTCAGCCAATCACGCGGTGTGATATAAGTGATCTCTTTGTATTCTCAAGTGAATTATTTATTTGCACCGCTATCTTCTCCCTGAGACGACTCAAACGTTTTGAAAAAATCACAGAAACGATGCAATAAAGCTGCAGTCAGCTGTAAATTTTTTTCGGAAGTTGTGACTATAAAATAATCTGCTTTTCTTTGAAAGACTTCAGACAACAGTCTCCCACACGAGCGCGGAGCGGTTTTCAGTGCGGTC